TAACCAAAAACCCTTAAAAGTAATTTAAACTTTGAAAATGGAATGTATTTCTGAATCTGTATGTCAATGAAATGCATTTTTCTTCCTTCGTAGTGTAATGGAAAGCTGAGACTTAAGCGCGAAAGGAAGGTCTGCCAGATTGCGCGACAGTTGAATTGTACACAGATGATGCAAGATGAAGAGACAAAAGAGCCAATTGGCCATCGACTCGGGAGTTACAAATAAACGAGGACGTAGATTAAAACCACGGTGAATCACAGTATATCTGTAAAATAAACTTTGGCTCTATTGTTTTCGTAAATTGAACCTTATCGTAGTTTTACTCAAATTAAACAAGCGCTTATCGAGTTTCTTATTGTGGTTTGTTTTATCTTAAACCTTGTCATCTTACTAGAACTGGACTCACTCCTTGGACAAAGAAAATACAACTTGTTCACCGTTAACAAAAAGGCCACTTGAAAGAACTAATATGATATTAAAAATAGCTATCTAACCTAAAGACAGCTTCTAAACCGGGCTGCAGCAAAACATGTAAGTCGGGACGCAAAGCGTACCGATTGCATTTCATGAACACAATTCGGAAACGATAAACAAAATGAAAATGTAAATCGGTTCGAAATTTTAATAAGGGAACAAGGTTTTGCTATTGTTTTTAAGTGGAGCTCCGTGTGCGTTACACTAAATAACAATGCTAAGGCGTTGAGAAAGAAAACTTTGTCCGTATTCACGTGCGAATTGGAAACATTTTGTCGTGTTTTCCGTCCGAAGACGTCGCTTCCATGGAGGGAGCTTCAGGCATGGTTTCAATGCTTTCCCGTGGCAATCTTAATCAGAATGTTCTCTGTATATCATGTTTTCCCAAAAGATGTAGGATTTTCATTCAACTCTGCACACGAGACGAAAAACAACTTTCGTCATATTCTTACCGGGATCATCATCCATCTCCCTTAGTATATTTATTTACACTAACCTTACGAAATTGCTCATCTTGATAATGCGTAAGGCACGTGTCACATTTCAACCTGGTAATTGCCAGGCTCACCAGAGAATTTTTGGTTTCCATAGGCAGAGTATCTGAGTACGAAACCCGTAGGCCTTTTATTCGACTCCTCTCATGGCCTCAGATTGCTTTCTTTGTCTCACGCTCGAAAAAACACAATAAACACTTTTGGTTTTAGCTAGTCTTTACATGTTGTCTTACCGACTTTTTATGGTGTAAAATTACAAACCAGCTGTTTACAGAAAAAAAATTAGTAGTCATTCGTTACGCAAAATATATATATAGCGCGATTCATCACATAAATCGCACTGCGGAAAGCCAATTAGATTGCACGGAACACCAGTGATTTTTGCATGTAACAAAGATGTTTATTACGATGGTGATTACGATAACGTTCGTGATAACAATAACGGTAATGATAACCATAATTTGTAGTCACATGCAATTACATCGACACCAAGTAGTCGGGAGATAACGTGCAAAGGATAACTTGAGTGTTTTGCTCGAATAACGAACAAAGAAAAACTTTTTATTCTCTTGCCAAGATTCGAATCAAAGACCTCCGTTTTGTACGCTCCAATGCTCTGCTACTGAGATAAAGAGAATTCTGTGGTAAAAAACTAATTCACTTGTCCTGCATTCTACTAGGATGTGAAATGTCGTTTGCCCCAGTGTGAGTAAATAGAAAAAGAGAGATGGTAATATTAGAGCCTGGTAATACAATAAATGATTTTTTCTGGTCTCGTGGGCAGAGTTGGCTGAAAATACCAACTCCATCGAAATAATGTTTTAACATTTAAGGAGAATGTAACGGCTGCCACGCCTTTGCTACCGGACATTGATTTGTTACAAGTTTGTTTCGTGTTAAACGTGTTAAACCGCAATAGTGACGTTACTGTTTGTCCATTAGGGACGTGATCTTTAAGTTCCACCCAGAACCGCATTTTAGTTAGTTATCTTGTGTTGGGCTAACGATAAGACGTGTTTATCGATAAGCGCCCTTTTGCCCACCTTATCTCGAAGTTCGTTTTGGTCGAACTTTTACAAGCGGGACTGTTATGTAAGTGCTTATGTTCCTTCTCTTCGTACTTGTTTAAAGACCTAGTCTTTCGGTAGTTTCGCCCAGTTTTTATATCAGTTTCTTTGCAACCTTGTAACACGTGGCTTACGTTGTTCATACTTTGTTAGCAAGCTGCTCGTTTTTCCCACTCGGTTATTAGTTTTGTTAGAATTCGTTTGCAAGCGGTTCTCCTTTATCCTTGAAGATAGTCTTTTTGTGAATTTGTTTTCGAGTTTTAGCTAGTCTTTTGGGATCTTGCTTTTATATCGGAATGATTGGAATGTTGGTCCGTATCTTAGAATTTAGCTTAGCTTCTTCCTTATAATTTCATATTTCAGTTTGCGATAATTACTTGGATACCTCGACTACGCTAATAAAACGATTCGAGTCTTTTCTGTAAATATATCCTCGCTTCATAGTGCGTCTTCACCAGCGAAACTCATAGCTGTCGTTGAAATTTGCTTCGCTTGTGTCGGCCGTTACAGAGAACAATTTGGTTAGTTGTGTCGGAAAAGCACACAAGCCAGGACTCAAGAGTTTGTGTAAGAGAGGGCCAGGCAAGTGTATATGTGACACATTCCACCTCATCAATTTATCTCAAACTTTTACAGATTGTCAGGTTTATAAGGATCCTTCAAGAATGAAGAATAGCTTTAGCTCCCGCTAATAAAAAGGAATTAGATACAACGTATGAATATCTAAACGTATTTAGACAGGAAAAAATCATAAGCTTAGTCTATCAATAAATGGTAAATTCTTAAATGAGGAAAACTATATTCAATATCTTGAAGTGCGGCTTAACGCTCATCTTTGTTGCAAATTTCATGTTGCACATATCACCAAAAAAAAAATGTAATAATGGGTTAATCTCTAAAATAATATAACCTGTTAATGCTAATACCCTCTGTAAATATTTCTTTTCAAGCTAGAGTTGCAAATTCGATTCCCGGGTTGATACACGCGCATGCAATGAATACCAAAGCAATATAGGATCTCTTCTTTCTTTATTCCTTCCCTATTACTTGGGGCCTTATTATATCGAAGTTGTCAACTGAAATTATTTCGTAAAGAAATCACCTAAGTATTGTGATCATAGCTTAAGAATAAACTCGATTTTGGAAACGAGTCCGTGGCAATTAAAGGAACTAAAAGAAAGGTAAGAACGAGCGTTAAATTTCGCTTTGAGTAATAACTACGAGCTAGAGAACATAATCACAAAATAAGTTATTGCTTATCAACGTTCGCGGGTCTTGATTACTTTATCGGGGATTACCAGTCTAACTTGTCTTCTATTCAAAAACGATCTTGATCACACGGGGTCTTATCTTGAACTGAAATGCAAACTATAATTTTCTGCCCAAAAAGAACTAATCACGTGGGCGTCAATCTAACCAGAAAACATTTCGCAGCTTTTCTCGGAAGCTTCAACAGGAGCAGTTACACTTCAAATTATACTGCGCTCTTATTTACCCATTCCTCATTTTTTTCTTTAATAGCGTGGGGTGATACCCGTGTGGGGTGATACCCGTGTTACCCGTGAGGTCTCAATCCGGTATTTCTTCTTCAAAAGGGTGCTTTTCATTTCACTCTTGGAATATGCTTGCCCTACCTTTAAATTCCTGAAAATCGTGAATTTTTCTTCTCTTGTCCATTTTATTTTATCTTTTTTATGTAAAATTTCCAAATACAGCTTCTTCCCTCCGTTTTCTCCGTCTTAAAGGAATAGGCATACCTATAACACGCGACTGTGGAATAGAAAAATTTGCTTGATAATTAGAATTTTTCCTATAACCTAGTTAATTTTCTTCCGCCTCACGGCAAGGGCGAACTTCCCACGTCCGCCATCTTGCTCGGTGCTCAAAGCGCTCTGAGTTACTAATTAAAAAGAGTCATGGTTGCAGGGCCTCTGTTATCAAATGCCTATCCAGTCATTATCCTGTAAGCAAAGCTATCCCTACTTCCATCAGGCATGATTTATGGTAGCAATTGCCCCCGCAATGATCCGAACACAGACGCGAATCTTTGGAGGAGATGTCTCTCCAACAGCATGGATCCATGCGCGTCGTAAACTGTTGTCTTTTTGGAAGCAAAAAAAGCGAAGCTTGGGATCCTGCTTGGTTTTTGCCTGATTATTACACTCGAAAGCTACACAATGAGCCATTTTTCTGGGGAAAACCCAGGAAAACCCCAAATACGAAATAACGAAGCAAATATTACAGATCATCAATCTAAAATGCTTTGCGCACCTATCAAGATGATAGAGGCGGGAAAAATGGAGGAAAGGGAAGAAGCATGAGAGTTGAATGCACATTCGTAAACTCAGACACTATGGCTTGTTTTTTCTTTTTTTTTTCTTCGTTTTCGTTGATTAATTTGTTTTTTTTTACTGTTTCCTGCTGTTTTCCCTTTTCCACAAATGTCAATACACCAATTCCGATTCAGAATAAAATAAATTGACGACGACAAGGGCCCGTCTGGGTGTCTCCAGTTATATCCGTTTTATGATTTTTTCATGAGCTATAAGGTAATTGGCGACTAAGGGACAATAGAGGTAAGATCAGTCTGAAACATTAAATTTGCGAAAGTGATAAATCTCCAGTGACGTGGCCTGGGTAGCTTAGTTGCTAAAATAATTCTACACTGACTGTATGAATAAATGAAAATCATGTATATGAACTGCTTATTAAGAAATAAATACGAAAGCGATCTTCACAGTAATGAGCAGTACTCAAGCAGTAGTAACAATAATGCCTGAAAAAAATTCAAGTTCGTACGGCACCGGTGCAGTGCTTTACCAACTGAACTAACAAGCCAACTGAGAGCTAGTCATTATTTTGGTTCGTAATAAATCTGTGAAGTGATGAATAAATGACTGTGAATAAATAAATAGCATATATATGAACCGCAAATTATGAAATGAATACGAAGATCGCCTGAACATTAATTATTTATATTGCTAAAAAAGCGTTTTTTTTCGACGTGTACATGACACTGAACCAAGATATATCCCATGGCCTTGATGAGTTTATTACCGTTATCTGGTAGGTACACTACGGAGTTTCCGCATGTGTTCGAATCATCTGGAGTCCCTCCCGTCCCAAAGCCGATTCTGGAATCACAACTGGAGCAAAGATCTTCATTGTTACTCAAGATACCAATTCTAGCTTTGGACGTTTCACTCCAGCTACAAACAGCGTTGAACCCTTCCTTATCACAATGGTACTGTAAAGAGGCTTGTGAACCAATCAGCAATTTCCACTTCTCACGACCCAGTGATGTGTTGCGATATTGCCCGTCAGCGATCAGTGAGTACAGAGAGTCAGCCTGCCTCTCGATGACGATAAAGTTGAGCTGTTGCCCAATCTTCATACCAAGACAGATCTTTGAAAAGGGTGTGTTCCAGTAGGTCGGTAGCTTGGTCTCTAGTGAATCAAATCTAGTTGCTCCTCCCAAGACGCTGTATTCAATTTTATCCGTCCAGTAGCTTGAGCTGTAGTGAAAGGTGCTCTAAAATGATATTAAAATCATTTTGAGTAAATTTGGTAACTAATGGGAATACTTTTGGAGATGGCGAGGACATCTCCAATCAACCGTTAGTCAAGCACACCCGCTCAGACCTCGTCCGGAATGCATTGATTAAATTCTCACAAATAAACCAATCTTAGAATCACAGCACTACAAGAGAGGGAAAACATAAAGAGCTGCTTTCCATTTTAGGACTTAAAGGTTCTACATGTTTCATGAAGGGCGTGCATTGTCAAGCTGGAGCTACTTTTGAAATATCCTTTATTTTTAAGCCACTTTCGCCACGATTTTTTTGTTTGAGCTGTCTCGAATGTTTGAGTTCAAATTGTCAAAAAAGAGAATTGATAGGGATCCTAACCCACGTTAATCTTGTCTTTCAAAAAATTAACAACTAAGAAAACTTTGCAGAGGCCATAACTAACGTTAATAGGGTAATTTCATTTGTTGTCGTGACTCGTTTGGCTGTGTTCCATTTAAATAGCTACAGTTGCTACAATTCTGGATATTTTATTCTTGCGGTGGACAGCGTACTTGTTTGACACAAAAATGAGCATGCAATTCTTGATTAGCTCTATCTTATCTGGTTTTTCTGGCTCACGTTTTGACCGATCGAACGTTAGTTTCGTTACGCACAAGATGGATTAAAACCATACCTTGCTGCCGTCAATCTTCATGACTGGCGTCCATGCTCCATCTCCACACCCGAAATCTCCAGTGTGACAGTAAATGGAGATTGCTTTGGAGTCAAAGTGAAGCGTGACCAGTCGATTCAAGTTTAAACTATACAAAAGACAAGGTACATGTAAACATCCTGGGTCAAAAGGAGCTTTCTTCGTTTGCATTTCACATTCTTTTCTTATACTCATACATTCCAGAACTTGCTTGGAGAGTAAGCTGCGTCCCTGAATTTTTACTGATTTTCTTATGCTTATTAGCCACGAGCTTTTTTGCATTTCGGTCTTGTTGTCTTTGGGAACGCAAGTGCAGGCATAGCCACTAAGGACATCAATAACGATAAGGTAAAACTCTCTTTTTGAGAGTAAATGCAAAAATTCCTCTCTGGTAAACATGTATACAAGGTTGGAAATCTATATTAAACAACAAATAGGAATTTAAAAAAATAATAATAATAATAATGATAATAAAAAAAAAGACTGGCGAGAAGTTAAATTTACTTTTCCCTAGGCGTTGTACTTCTGTGTTACAGCAAATTTAGGATAGGCAGGGGGGGGACTAGCTAGAATAAAACTCACTTGTAAGCTACACTGAGCTCTTTGCATGACTTCGCAACTGAAAGTGAAGAAAAAATTTATTGCCTTAGTGGTTTTCTCAATCATCCTTTTATATATTTGAAATTAAGACATTAACTGCATTTTGAGATTGCAAAGAATTGCCAAAATGTTCGAAATTTGTGAAGCCACCAATTTAAATATTGCATAGTAACTGGACTTACCCTTTTTTAGATATCCCAGCCATTTTTTTTAAACCATTAAAAGCAACAACAACAAAAGATGATAATTAAAAAGCACTGTTTACTTGTCATTGCCTTTTGTTTTTCGGATTACCAGAGCAGCAGCTGTTCATGAATTTAAGTCCGTACCCGAATCGTAGCACATTTAAGCCAGATATCATAAAAAGCTTGAATGAAGTAGTAATTTCTTATTTATACATTAAATGATAGGATATCAAAATCATCCAGGGTAGGTAACTTTGATATAACTCTCTCTAAATTATATTTAGACTTGTATTACTTTTAAGAGAGCCCCGTAAGTATCCTATTTCTTCTTAAAAACCTCATTGATATATCTATAGGGATGATCTGATGAAGCACTTTGGTATAAAGCTTTACAACTAACTTGTATTGCAGTATTTTCCCACATAACCTTCCTCGCAAAGGCATTCAAATGGATCATTTCCAATGTCATTTAATAGACAGGTGCCTCTGTTGAGACACCTCGAGGATGGGCAAGTCGACTGAAATGAAAACAAAGTTAATCAGCTTGACTGCATGAAAGTAATTTCCGAAAATTTAGCCCTGATGCGATATTTTGTCGTTGAGCCGAGTTACTGCAATATATCACCAAAAGCAAACAATAATTTACGAGGAGCTTTACGATAAATCGGAAGTATTTAGGAGGAAATCAAATCGCGATGAATCTCGCTTCAAATTTCTTCGAAAACTCGCAGTTTCTTCGATTCTCACCAGTTATGTTTTATATTACTACTTGCTTAAAGTACCGTTCCCAAAAAATACAGTTCAAAAAGTCTCACAATGTTCCGATAGCATCTTGAAGAGATAGGTCAAATCTTCTTTGTCTACTGACGTGACATGAAATTATTTGACCGAGTTATTTCTTGTTTATTTTGGTCCATATTGACGTAAAAAGAATCGAGACTTTATCAAAACGCTGTGTTACACGATGATCATCACCTTAAAATTACAACGGTGCCGTTTACGCGGTATGCAAAGACACAATTATTGTACAATTCGCCATTAGACACCTTTTTCATCAAACCACCCTCACAGAAGGGCGACTGTGAAAAGTCTAAGCCATTAACGACTCTTTGTAAAATAATACTAAAAATTCGTTCGTTATGAAATATCACGTAAGCAATCATACCATAATGGAAAAGTGATGCGAACTCTTGTTTTCTTTAAACTCTTTGACATTCCTGTCCTTTACAGACGACAGCAACTCACACCAAAGGTTTCCATTTGCTTCCTCAGAGGTGGCCATGTTTACTGAAAGACATCTTTGGCTCCTGAGGCATTGAAAAACGCACGCAAGCTCGTCATGTACCTTCGTTGTTCCAAAATGTGGAACATCTAAGTAATGGTACTCGGTTTTTGAAAATAGGCGTTCAAAAAAATTATCTGAAGAGAAGATAAGTAAGACAAATATCAAGTTTATGCTATAACTAATCCAAAATTAGTAGTACGATGAGGTTGCTAGTTAGAAAATTTAAGCTTATTGAGGTTATTTGCGTCTGCTCAGGAGAAGAGTATGAGCAAAGAGCTATTAATAACACGCGCCTGGCAATTTCGACTCGTTTTCACCGTGTATGTTATATTTTTGTTTGACCATGATCTGCAGTGTTGCTTCGCTTATGCCTTACATGTATCTGTATAGGATACGATCAAAAGATTAATCATTGTCTTCGGCTTTACTGGTCTAAGGATATCGTGATCGTGTTTTTCTTCCCTTCCGTTTTAATAAACAATCGTTATTATCACTGACCTGACGAGCAGCTGAAGTTCGCTTTGAAAAATAGAAATATCAAGAAAATATCACACTTCGCCACCGTGTACATCTTTGAAATCACGATCTTCATAGCCGGTTTTAACGGCAACAGCATCAAGCAAAAAAAAATGACACGATACGATACAATCCACCTGCGACGAACCCTTAATATGCTAAAAGTAATATTGTGTCATTGTGTTTCTGTAATATTGCTCCAAGCGCTTCAGGAAAGAAAATAATGAAATTTAATTTAATTTAGTTGTAGACCAGGTGGCAGGTCAGAAAGCCAAAAGTAAAGCTGAATAAATAGAAATTGTAGATGTGTCCCATTATCTTGATTTATGCACCATTTATCTGAGCTATTTATGGCTAAGCAAAAAGATTGATTGTCTTTTGTAATTGAAAATACAGCACTGATATTAGATATAAGATGACAGCTCAAAATAAAAATTATTATTTTTTTAAAATTGAGCATGCTCCTTTTACAATTATTTTCTTCGGCCGTTCGACCAAAGAAGCCTAAAATTGAGTTCTGGTGCAACTGCGAAAACTCAGTTGCGAGTATTTATCAATTTTTGAGGTCGTTCTAACTTTTTTTTCTTTTTAATACGGATTGATTGATTTATTAATTGAAGAACTAACTGATTAAAATAATAATGAACTTGTTCGCAAATACATTTACGATAGTCTAATTATTCAGCAAAAAAAAAAAAAGAAAAAAAAAAGAAAAAAAACTTGTATGCTATATATAGAATATACGATGAAAAATAACAACTTACTCAAAGCTTAAATCTCAGCTGTATTCAAGGAAGACCGTTCATTCGCAGGTCAAACGTGAGTCAGTTGGTATCTCTGTGCTTTGGTTCACGTCGACTTCCCATTCTCTGTCAAATGGGAGATTTTGGATGTGGAAATGGAGGGTGGACGCCTGTCATGAAGACCAATGGGAGTAATGTATGATTTAAAATAGTATTAAAAGACTCTTGGCTTAAAAAAAAAATTGCTAAGGGACAATCAAACAGTAAGACAAACTCTCCTTGATTGCATTAGTTGGGTGCCTAGTCCATTTGGATCTTACCCCTTACCCCTCCCCCCCCCCACCCCGTTCGGTTTTTCCAAGGCTGGCGATGAAAAAACGTGGATATTATTTCAGGCAGCATTCACCCAGTATCCTCCTAGCATTAGAAACATCTGATCAGGCACTTTTTAGTTTATCATCACTGACACATTATTAAGTAACTTAAAAAAATCAATGACCTGGTTTGACTTCCTTCTCGACAAACAGTTGAAGAGGGGAGCTTAGCCTCTTAGCTTGATGCTTCATTATTTACTGATATCATGGTTTTCTCTTAAATGAACACCTTACCTGGGTGTTCACTGCATTTGTACTCTTACAGGTATAGTCCAAGACAGAAACAAATTGTTACAATATATAGGCACGGTTTTTTCATTAATTTGTTAATTTCTTAATGTTGTTAATCTAAAACGCATTACTGAAACCCTTCACCTCTTAAGAATTCTGTGATGCGGACCAATGCCGTCATTTGGAGTTCGGGCCAGAAAAAAAAGCTTTTGACGGGAAACGTCATAAAAACTACGTGATCCGCATCGTTGAAGTTATGGTGAAGGAGTTCTGCGAAACAGTGTGTTATATGGAACCCGACTGTGTCAGTATCAATCTTGAGAAAGGAGTGGATGGTAATAGGAAATACAAATGTGAATTGAATAATGTCACACACGAAGGACACGAAGGCGATTTGATTGAGGAGGAAAACTACTTCTATCACGCGGCTGAGGTAACTGCAATTTAGCCAGTAGGGCTCTGAGTCAACACTTCATAACAGAAAAGAAAGTCTTCGTTATTTTCCCCTGTTTTAACTCGTCGATCACCTCTGTGAACCTTTCATTTTTCTTTTTTAACTATTTTTGCCCAGGTTTGTGGGTTGATGGTCGGTCTGCAAGTTTCCTTACAACCTAAATTTTTTTCCTTGCAAGTCTGTATTGCCTGATCTCTAAGAAAATATATTTTTGATACAAGCAGCCTAAAAGAAACCTCGTTTTTTTGTATGGTTCGATTCGTTGTTGAGTGCTTGCATCGAGAATCATTATGTATCGTTCGGGGGTGTCTCATGTCGCCATAAGTGACCACAGTTTAGTTTATGCATATCGAAAAATTTCAATTCCGACGTTCTCCAAAGGAGTTAACTTGATAACATATAGACAGTTTAAACATTTTAATAGCGCAAATTTTTACGCGGACATTCTAGCTCAACCTTGGGATGAAATAAAGCAATTATATGATCCTAATGATATGTGGAGGAGGTGGAAAGAATTATTCCTGAATGTATGTGAAAAGCACGCACCGACGAAGACCAAACGGACACGAGATTCTAAATCCCCATGGATAACCGCTATTCTGAAAAAGCGGATGAATTTCAGAGACCGCCTCAAAAGAAAGGCTATTAAGACAAAGGATCCAGTTATTTGGGACCAATTTCGAATAGTTAAAAATCAAGTTAACGGGGAAATTAATAGTGCGAAAAAAGCTTATTATGAAAATGCCTTCAACAATTGTTGTGGAGATCAAAGGAAAACATGGAAAACAATCAATGAACTGACCTCACGAAAGTCCACTAAAACTGTTATTAATGAGATGGAATATAATGGGGTAAATTCTGGAGATCAAACGGATATAGCAGAAATGCTAAACTCCTTTTTCACAGAAATTGGGCCAGGCAGTAGAGACGTGTCAGAAGTTGATAAATCCTTCGAAGAATTTCTTATTGAAACTGATAAAAATTTTGTTTTTGAAAAAACAACACCAACACATGTCTTTGCACTACTATCAAAGCTTTGCAAGTCAAAGGCAACTGGATTAGATAATATCTCAGCAAAACTTCTAAGGGAATGTCCTGATGTTCTAGCGGAATCTCTTACTCATCTATTCAATCAATCCATAATGACTGGCATCTTTCCCGATGAGTGGAAATCTGCCAGAGTCACTCCATTGTATAAAAATACTGGGAAGCGCTCTGATCCGACTAATTATCGACCAATATCAATAATTCCAGTTGTGGCCAAAGTCTTTGAACGGATAATTTACGATCAGCTTTATCGTTATTTAACTAACAACAACTTTCTCTCGTGCCATCAATCTGGTTTTCGGTCTTTGCATTCCACGCTCACAGCACTTATCGAAGCTACAGATAGTTGGGCAATGGATATAGACCGTGGTCTTGTTAATGCCGTAGTGTTTTTAGACCTCAAAAAGGCATTTGATACAGTAGATCACGATATTTTGCTACGAAAATTGCAATACTATGGGATTTGTTGGACCAGTCATCAATGGTTTGCTTCTTATTTAGATAATCGAACACAGATTTGCCATGTAAATTCTTGTAAGTCAACTCCGAAATATCTAAGATGTGGTGTTCCCCAGGGAACAATTTTGGGACCCCTTCTGTTTTTAATATATATTAATGACTTACCACATTGTCTGACATATTCGGAACCCAGAATGTACGCTGATGATACCAGCCTGACGCTTGCCAGTACTGACTTTGATCATATAAATTATTGCCTTAATTACGACCTGAGTAATGTGTACGAATGGCTGAGTGCTAACAAGCTTACCCTAAATATGACAAAAACTGAGTTTATGCTTATTGCATAAAGGCAGAAGTTATCACAATTTACGGAAAGTCCTTCTCTTACTATAAACGAAATCGCAATAGAACAAGTAACCTCCGCTAAGTCCCTTGGAGTTTATGTCGATCAAAATATCAACTGGGAGTGTCATATTGAAAACATCTCTAAGAAGATAGCTTGTGCCATTGGTGCAATTAAACGAATTCGGTACCTCACTCCATTTAATGTTCTAATTAAAGTTTATAATAGCCTTGTTCAACCACATTTTGATTATTGTAATGTAGTGTGGGGAAACTGTAACAAGGGCCTTTCTGAAAAACTGCAAAGGCTTCAAAATCGGGCAGCTCGCATCCTAATGTCTGCGAGCTATGATAGTAATTTAGAAGATTTGTTCCGGGCACTAGGGTGGCGAAGACTCTACTATCAAAGATTGGAACAAAAATCTATCTTAATGTATAAAACTTTACATGGTATGACACCAGATCATCTGAGATCAAGATTTGTATATCGTGACAATATAAGCGCTTATCGTTTAAGGAATACGGAAAACAAATTAGTTCTTCCACAACCTCGAACTGATTATCTTAAGAGAAGTTTTTTGTACAGCGGAGCTCACTTGTGGAACGACTTACCCTTAGACCTAAGACAAGTGTCTTCACTGACCGATTTCAAATCTAAATTAAGTCGCCACAGTTTAAAGGAATATCTTAATTTTAAGTAAATTTTAGACACGGCCTCCATGAAAAGCAGATTTTTTTATTTGTTTGTTTTATTTGAATTGTTATTATTAGATTTTATTACAGTTAGGAAGATAGATATACCTTTATAGATAATTAACAACTGATGGAAATACCGTGTATAAATAAAGTTATCTTATCTTATCTAATCCTTGCAAGAATAACGTAATTTGTCAAAGCGGTTATACCGACAAAGGTTACCGCTGCTTGTGTACAGCTGGATTCAGGGGTCAAACTTGTGATGAAGGTATAATAACACTGATTTCTTACAGTGAATTGTATACAGACCTGTACATGTAAACCTAGATATAAGGAAGATTGACAAACTTGCAAATTCTGATATTGACCCCATCCTTATTTGAAGAATTTAAAATTTCAAGCATACAATAAGTGGCAAAAGTCTTGGCACGCTCTACTACTTTTTGTTTTTTTCTATAACTTTCATTTTTCTCCCCCCCCCCCCCCCCCCACCACACATTCCCCCCATTGCAATGTTGCCTTGTGCTGGTGTTGGTGTTGTCAGAATGGTGACCACCTGGGAACGTTGTTGTTGCTGTTGTTTTTTTTCTTTTTTTTTTGCGGGGGGTGGGGGGGGAAGGGGACTTAAAGTAAACTCATCACCTGTTATTTTTTTCACTTTTAATTCAATGAATCAGATGCAGCTCTCACATCATTTTCTTGTTTCTGTGTAGTTGTGACAGATTTA